CCTCTCATCTCCGTGCTGCTCGTCGTCTATCCATCTACCAGGATCCCATTCGGCATTGGGGAAATTGGAGGGTGCATCACTTTCCCACCTAATTAAAATTCTCACATAGGTGCCATAGGCGTCTACATAATATTTTTTGCCGAACACCGTGAGTCCAGCGTGGCTTCAGATATTAATCGCCTCCTGAAAGGACAGGGAGTGGGGTGACTGTTGACCGTAGAGGTCATTTTTAATCGTTCTGTTAAGAATCTACACGAATTTACCCATTCCTGGCCAACCTCCTCATCCTGTGGCGTAAAGGTTTTACTTTCAGCAATGAAAACCGGGATGTAGGTGCTTTTATATCAGCTTTTCTTGGTGGCGTTAGTCAGGTAGTGCTATGGATCTTTGGCGAAGTAGGAACAAATCGAAAATTTTAGAGGAATATGTATTAACAACGTGCTGTGATGCTGGGAGATCCGAGGGTCGTGCCACAGAAGGGGAGTGCGGACTGCGAAGACCGAAGAGCCGGTGTATTTCAACATAAAATTAAGCATCAGATCACTACATTCATTCTAGATATTAGCATGCATTAAAAGGAACTGGTAATTCTTTCCTTAAAACTACTCCATTCATTCACTGCTTAATGCATTCGGTTTATGTGTCGCGTAAATTTGGTCTTTGTGGGGTAGTGATTTGATATTTTTTAATGGCGTACTGAACTACATCTGCATGCCGGCCTCTGCAGAACGTATCTCTTCCCTGCGGCATAGACTTCGAGGAATGCAAGCATCTTCCCAGGTCTTCTATGCCTTAGCAATGCATATTCCCCACATTACTTTGGATTACCACAAGTTGGGGAAAAACCCGCTGCCCTGCAATTAGTTTTTTTTAATATCGTCCTTTTAACTTTAATATAGGCATTTAATCCCCGCCAACAAAAGGTGAGAAATTTGCTTTCTTTAACGAATGTAATTTGATAAGTAGTGGAGTATTTGAAGAAGCATTTCCCTTAGTTTAAAAACTTGAATGTTATCACACATTAAATGTGACTATTTTTTCGTGAAGATATTTTTCCTTACTGTTCTTTATACATTTAACTGAGCAAAGGCTTGCCATACACCGATGTATGTTATGCTTGCAAATATAACGATCTTACGAGTTAATTTGCACTTTTGGCAACGCCTCATACAAAGGGTCGAATAGGTGAGGCTCCTCGAGTTTGAGAGGGTCGCTACCCGCGCATGGAAAGGCCTTTGCTGTCCACTCAAATACCACGTGGGCGGCAGATCAATAATCTTTGATCGATTACCTTTCGTTGATTGCACAAAGCTCCTGGTCAATATGTGAGTGAGACGTATTAAAGGGGCCAAGGCCTTGTACAATACCGCAGTACCAATGCGTCCACCACTGAAACGGTATTATGATGCCATTATCTTATTTAAATATCCTTGAAGGCTTACTGCAAATCCATATCGCGAGTCACGAATGGATGCCAAACTGTATTTCTTGGAGTTAGTTGCTTCAAATGGCTTAAAAGCGCACTGCTAGAATGACACTTGTACGAACTGTTAATCACTATGGTAACAGATAATTGCGTCAGAGCCTTGGGGTAGTTAAGGCAAAAAGTCACCAAATGCAATTCATTTTTTGCTAGGAAATTGGAAGCTTTTGGCAGGGGGAACTTCAACACATTTTCATTCAAGTTGGCTATTTCAGTCAGCACGCTTTGTTTTCTCACGTTTTCTCAACCAAATATAGTCTTTTACTTAGCTCAAACCCTTGAGGTGCTAAGTGGTTTATGCGATAGGTTGAAGTGAATGGCAAAACACCAGATTAATACAACGCATTTGAGTGTAATACGGAGTTCCTTGAGGGGCGATTTATTGTCTCCTTTGTAAGTGATAATTTATAAGAGCGAGGATTCGATTCTTCATATCTGAGGATGAGATGATGCCGTGAGAGGCCTCCTGATATTCATCGCACAGACTTGATAGGGCGTTCACTAACTTAATCATATTCTTTTTTGGTCGCGTATTCTGACTTCTGTTGCGCCGATTGGCAAACCACGAGTTAACCTGTTACAAAACAGTGAAAAAGTAGAGAAGGATCTCACTGCTAAGCGTTTTGAAATGCAGCAAAACATTATTCAAGAACTACTTTGATATCGCAGATACTGTATGCACTTAGGAAATCAAACATAATTGCAGGCCTTGAGAACTATATTTTGATCAAGAAAGCTGTGATACAAGGTTGTTGATAAAACCAAAACTTACTGGCACCGTAAGAAACCAGCATACGAAAATAATCCCAGGTGAAAAAGTGTGCGCTTACTAACCTGTTCGATGGTAATTCCTCCCGCTGACGCCATCATTTGCTTCTCCGCCTTTGATGGATAAGGCCACTCAGTGTTGGTCTCGTACCAACCCTCCAGAATCTGCGTCGCTCGTGTGCTTAAGAGCTTGTTCCCTTCCCCTCGACTCTTATTTTGCTTAGCGTCCTGCCGTTTGTTCAACCGCTGAGATTTGGAAATGCGTAGATTCTTCTCATCGTAAGCATCGTCGGAAACGGTAATCGTTGGAGCTGGAGCAGGACCGTTTTGATACCGAAGGAAGGAATTTAGAAAACTAGGGATTACATTTTGCTCGTTGTTTTCTGTTAGCACTTGACCAAGAGTTGAATGTGAATTTGCTACTGGAACATGCAAAAATTGTGCAGATGGTTGGTAGGAATAATTTTGACTGGCATTGTTTACAGGATATCCTGGTGGCTGAGAATGCACCTGGACATTACTCGATGGAATATTTGCCGTCGAATTGTTTTCGTTTGATGAGTTGATGTGTACCTGAAAGGCACTGTCTGATGCGAGAAAGTGTAAATTATTCTCTCTTTCAATTTCATCCCGATATTCATTAACGCTTAGCGGTTCATTCATCGAATGAATGGATGGTTGAATTTCATTTCCTGAATGAAGAAAAGAGGATGCTGCAAAGGAACTTTCATCTCGTTTAATTGAAGTGATATGTTGATGTCTCAAAGATGAATTTATCGAGCTCCTGGTAGTTGAGGTTATGTCGCTCGATGGAAACAGCTGGTTTTCAGCTGGAAAGTCGATGCTTTCTGATAAACCGGAGTCAAAATGTAAGTCCTGTTGGCTAAAAATTAAAAACCCGTAAATTAACCCGTTAATTTAAATGTTTATAACTTGGAATAGAATTCCAAATAAGCCTACTATGGAGCTCTCATCCCTACCATAAAACTTACAACAGGTATTTGAGGCAAGCGTTTAGCTAC